AGTGTCTCGACACCACAGGGGGCGCGCTGGAGGTGGGGGCGCTATCCGTCGCACGCACGCTCGCAAAGGGGCAGGCGTGGCATTTTCTCGACACCACAAGTGGTGCGCTGGAGGTGGGGGGCGCTATCCCTCGTACGCTCGCACAGCGTGGCAGGCGAGGTGAATTCTCGACACCGCCAGAGGTGCGGAAGGGGTGGGGGCGCTGTCCGTCGCCCGCTCGCTAAGCGCGGCAGGCGTGGCAGTTTCTCGACATCACAAGCGGTGCGCTGGAGGCGGGGGCGCTGTCCGTAGCACGCTCGCGAAGCGTGGCGGGCGTTGCATTTGCTCATCATAATACAATGCGTGCGCTGGAGGTGGGGGCGCTAGCCTTTGCACTGGCGTAAAGCGTGGCAGGCGTGGCAGTTTCTCGACGCTAGAGGATGCGCGCAGGGGGTGTGAACGCCATCCGTCGCACGTTCGGCGCTTGCCATCCTTTGTATCCAGAGCTGCACGCATAAAAAAACAGCCAACGCCTAAGCTCAAACCGACTCGGTGTGCTAAAGTTTTCCAGCGAGTGCGGCAAAAGTCCCGATCACGGGCAGCGGACGTTCCCCTGTTGCGGGCAGCAATCATGCGAAAGCCCGCGTCCACGCCCTGAAACGCCAATGGAGCTTACCAGCGGCGCGAGGTCGCTGAAATGCTCTGGCGCCGGAGTCTTTCCGACAAAAGCAGCGCTGTCCAGCCGCATCGCATTCGCGCGGCCCGCGCCGCTCCTTGACGATTTCGGGCTTTTGTCCTCGTGGCAACCGCAGCCCCAAGACTTTCCATCGAAGGGCAGCAACAGATTGCATGCAGGCGGATTCTGTGTGTTTTGCCATTCGTTTGCGCGCGCAGCTCAGAGGAAATAGTAGTAGTGGTAGTAGTAGTGGTAGTAGTAGAGGTAGTAGTAGTAGTAGTAGTAGTAGTAGTAGTAGTAGTAGTAGTAGTAGTAGTAGTAGTAGTAGTAGTAGTAGTAGTAGTAGTAGTAGTAGTAGTAGTAGTAGTAGTAGTAGTAGTAGTAGTAGTAGTAGTAGTAGTAGTAGTAGTAGTAGTAGTAGTAGTAGTAGTAGTAGTAGTAATAGTGGTAGTAGTAGTAGTAGCAGTAGTAGTAGTAATAGTAATAGTGGTAGTAGTAGTAGTAGTAGTAGCAGTAGTGTAGTAGTAGTAATAGTAGTAGTAGTAGTAGTAGTAGTAGTAGTAGTAGTAGTAGTAGTAATATTAGTAGTAGTAGTAGTAGTAGTAGTAGTAGTAGTAGTAGTAGTAGTAGTAGTCGTGATAGTACAGTTGTAGTAGTAGTAGTAGTAGTAGTAGAAGTAGTAGTAGTAGTAGAAGTAGTAGTAGTAGTAGTAGTAGTAGCAGTCGTAGTCGTAGTAGTAGTAGTCGTACTAGTAATCATAAAAAATGATAATAATAATAATAATAATAATAATAATAATAAGGGTAGTGGTACTCGTAGTAGCCGTGGTAGTAGTAATAGTCGTACCATTAACCGTAACCGTACTAGTAGTAGTAATACTACCAGTACTAGTAGTAATAGTAGCCACAGTCGTAATAGTAATCGTGGCTGTAGTGGTGGAAGTAGAATTAGAAGTAAAAGCGGTAGTCGTGGTAGCAGTAGTAGTAGTAGTAGTAGTAGTAGTAGTAGTAGTAGTAGTAGCACGCGTGGTAGTGGTAGCGGCAGTGGTAGTGGTTGTAGTAGTAGTAGTAGTCGTCGTCGTCGTACTAGTAGTAAGAAGAACATTAGTAGTAGTAGTACTACTACTACTACTACTACTACTAGTACTAGTATTAGTACTAGTAGTACTCAGACTGATACTAGTAGTGGATAGGTGTGATCGTGCGATACGTAGTGGTAGTAGTAGTAGTAGTAGTAGTAGTAGCAGTGGTGGTAGTAGTAGTAGTAGTAGTAGTAGTAGTAGTAAAGTGAAACTAATCGTAACAGTAGTAATACGAAGTGGTGTTAAGGACTGTCTGTGTAGTACGAATAGTAATGAAAATAGTCGTACTGGTCGTCGTGCTTAGTATATATATATATACGGATACCAACATCGCAATTGTAGCTGTAATAGAAGTAATGGTAAATCACACCTGGCCTGCATAAATGGGTTGTGCCAATCACGATAATAGGCAATCAACAGTTTGCAACGCCTCCGGGTCATACTTGGTCGTCCCATGTTCGCGGAATGGGGAGAAGCTGGCTCAGTCTTCCCAGCCCCGCTGGGCGGCGCGCCGTCCAACACGCGCGCCCAGATCATGCTAGGTCCGCCCGGAATTGTATCGTGTTTGCGAGAGCAAGGTCGCCGACAACAGGGTCGATGACAAAACTGATGGGAAGGATACTATCGATGCCTCCGTTATCCTCATCTTTCTCCTCCTCGTAGAAGTCATCGTCCTCGTCGTCATGGACGCCGTCGTCGTCGTCATCGCCATGGTCATCATCACCGTCACAATCATGATCACCTTCGTCATCATCATAAACGTCAGTCAGCATCAGCATCGTCATTACAATCATCATGCTCCACCCTGAGACGGCGAACCAAGCATACTCTAGCACGCCGCCCCACGACGCATTCACCCGCCTTTGGCCAGCGCCCCAGCAACTGCAGCGGCAAAGAGATTCTCAACGTTTTCCTTGATATGCTAGGCCTCGGCATCCTTGCTGCTCGCCACCTGGGCGGCGCTGGCTCGCACGGGCGGCGCGCACGGCGCAGCGGCGGCCGCGGATGCCTAAAAGCCCAGAAAAGGGCTCCCTGCCGCCGCCAGAGGCCGCGCGCCGCGCCAGCTCCTCCAAAGCCTCTGCGGTCGCCGCGCGCAGCCGGCCGAAAATCTCCCAAGCAAGAGCCGCAACCGATGGGCCGTACCGGCGCGCCTTGTCTTCTGGTCCGGCACGCGCTACGGCGCCTGCCATATCCGCCGCTGGCCTGCCCGAGGGCGCCGACCGCAAGGCGAGCGGCGAGCAGGTTGCGACCTCCAGCCCTGGTAGCTGGAGACAACGTCCAAGATCACATCCTTGCACGTCGGCGTCCGTCACCGCCCCTCGCGCGCTGCACGCGCTGGCTCCTGCCACTGATACAGCTCCGGGACGTGGCGCCCCTCGTTCACGGCGCAACTTATAGCCTTCTTCAGCGCGTTGAAGACGCTCCGATGCGGGCGCTAGCGGCCACCCTGCTTTGAGCAGCGCCACGCACGCTGCTGCACACCCAAGTACTTCCCACGCGTCCCACCAGACGTACCATCGCATCGGCAGCACAAGAGCGCGCCGCCTCCTCTCAAGAGGCCCAGGCGCCCAAGCGTGGCGACGACGAATGAGCATCAGGGAGAAAGCTCGGCACTATCCCTTCTTGACGTCGCGCCAGACGCACCCTGTGTTGGCGCCCCCACCGCCAGCTTGCGATGCGCATCCGCCTCTCGCCAGCGGCGTGTCGTCGGCAGTGCATGACACTGTCTGTGAGCTGGCCGACCACCCTCTGCCCGCACATGTCCAGCTCGTTTGACGCGAGGGGCGCTGGAGAACAGGCGCTCGCAAGAGCAGCTCAGGGCCCGGCACTGTGCTCCGCGTGCTGCGCCGCGCCGCAGAGGAGGACGCCCCGTTCCTCGACCAGTCCACGCTGCTGCAGGCACTGCTTCGCTCACTGGGCACGCTCGCGCATCGAGCCGAGCCGCAAGGCGTCGCCAAGCTGCCCCGCGAGCGCTGGCAATTGCGTCGGGGACGCACTGACCTGGGTTAATGCAAACCCGGGTCAGTCAGGCTTTGCAGGACCCTGCAAGATCCTGCAGGATCCTGCACGCAAGCCAAGGCCACTGCAACACTGGCTTTGCAGGATCCTGCAAGATCTGGCGCTCTGGCTGACCCTCGTTTGCAGCGATCCCCGTCTCAAGGCTCCAGATCGCGTGCGCACGCTGCACCACCGGACCCAAGACGCCGCCGCTGCCTGCCTTTCGCTGCAGCTCGCAAAGATTCCCAGTCCTCCGTACTCCGTCGGCAGCGTCTCGGCGCGCCAGGCCCAGTCGCCACAGCCGCCGACCAGCACGGCAATGGCGGCCTCCACGGCAGCCTGGTGCTCGCCAGCGACGCGCTCGTTGCACTCATAGACATCATGCGGAGGTCGTATTCCATGGCGTGCGCCGCGCTGAGGCTGAGGATCAGAAAGGTCATGTGCCTCGCCTTTATCATCATCATCATCATCATCATCATCATCATCATCATCATCATCATCATCATCATCATCAACAACAACAACAACCACATCATCATCATCATCATCATCAGCATCATCATCATATCATCATCATCATGATCCTCATCAGCATCATCATCATCAGCATCATCATCAGCATCATCATCAGTATCATCAGCAGCATCATCATCAGCATCGTCATCGTCATCGTCATCATCATCAGCAACAGCAGCAGAAGCAAGCATCATCCTCCTGTTCCTCAACATCAGCACCATAATCATCCGTCACCATCATCACAAGCATCACCAGCATCAGCATCATGAAACACATCATCTGAATAATCATTAACACCAGCAACAGCAACAATATGTAGAACAGCGTCATCATCATCCTCCTCATCATGATCCTCATCAGCATCATCGTCATAATCGTCAGATCCACCATCATCATCAGCAGCATCATCATCCTCATCAGCGGCATCAGCATCATCAGCATCATCAGCATCGTCATCACCACCAGCATCGCCACCGCCACCACCAACATCATCATCATCATCATCAGCATCAGCATCAGCATCAGCATCAGCATCAGCATCATCATCGTCATATTCCTCATCATCCTTATCATCGTCATCAGCAGCATCATCGCCACTCACCATCATCATCAGCAGCAATACCAGCATCAGCATCAGCATCAGCAGCAGCATCATCAGCATCAGGGTCAGGATCATGATCATCACCATAAATATCACCATGCTAGTAGACATCGTCCTCCTCTTTACTCGATTAACAGCGGGTCGACGGCCTGCTGCGCTGCCGATGGCACTGCCACCATTGACGGCGCCGTCGGGAGGTACTCGTATGGCCTGGCTGGAAGAAGACAACGGAAGCATGCAGGGGGCAGCGAGGGTAGACGGTCATTTCAGAGCGGTTCTGGAGAAGAGGGAGAGGAAAGGGAGGGAGTAGGGACGTAGGGGAAAGCCAATAAGTCTTCCGCTGACGACGTAGACGACGTTTCCCGAGTATAGCATCAGCCTAGATCCGCCAGGGCGCGTTGACAGGTCTGCAAACGAACGCCTCCTCAGCGCACGCGCAACTCTGATCAGCATAATCTCGCCTAGAGTTTACGAGAGGAGGGGAACCCTAAGCAAAGCCGAATTGAGAGCAAATGCCTGCGGCAACACATCTTCCGTTCGCTCTTCCGTCAGTCCCAGCATCGTGACCTTAGTCACTGGCGTGATCGCGCTCGACCTGCTCGATCGGTCGAATGCGCGGTCCGCATCGAACCCGATGGATTCGACCATCGGAGACCTCACTGAGCGAAACAGACCCTGGCTTGCCACAACCCTGAAGCATGCATCCCTGAATGCCACCCCTCAAAGATCTGCTGCAAGCCTGGTGCATTGAGGGATAAACCCTATCCGTGCCGACAACTGCCAACCTCTCTGTAGAAGTCAGCCAAGTAAGTTCAACGATGCTTATCTGCAAACGCAGATTGCAAAATGGTTGACGCGTATCCCCGGCAGTCCATCCAGATCCAATAAAAACGCATTATAAGAATGAGCGGAAAGGATACAAGGGCCTTATTAGGGCACGTTGACGTTTTTCGAACGGAGCTGGCCAGCGAAAATTGCCAAGGATGGGTCGAAGGGGAAGGACTGGCCCTTCTTGCTTTGAATAAGATGTGCCAACCCGTCCAGCCGCCTGCGGCTGTAAGGCCGGCATGTCGGCGCCTCCAAGGGCGGCCAAGATGGCCCTCGATGGCCTCCCTGAAAGCTAAGAGAGCCTCCAAGATGTCACCAAGAGGCCCCCCAAGAGAGATCCCGACTGCAAACCACGGCAGGTCTGAGCTGTGTGCTTGCTCGCCTGTCGGGACCAAGAGCGCCAAAGACTGCCCAAGAGACCCTCAAGATCGCCGCAAAGATTAGGGGAACGAGCAATGGCATAAACATAATAACTCGGAGGTCCGCTCGGATTTCTTGGATCCGCGCTGGACCCCCTCACTGACGCGCGGAGCGCGCCAGGGGCGACGCCGGAGGCGCCGCCAGGGGGCCCCAGCGCGGATCCGAGAAATCCGCGCGGACCTCCGAATCATTATGTTTATGCCATTGCTCGTTCCCCTAAAGATGGTCCAGGAGGTCCCCAAGCCGGCCCCGATACCCCCCTGGATGGCCTCCAGAGGCCCCCCAACATGTCCCCAAGTCGGCCAGAGGTCCATAGTGCCACAGTGCCACCAGACGACGTCAGGACATGGCCTTCAGAGATGGGCCCAAGACGGCCCGCATGTGCTCGCAAGGGGCTCCAAGAGGAGCCCAGCAGGCCCCAACACGGCCCCGGAAGGAACTCATCGCGGCTGGCCCGAGGCGGCCGCGGCCGCCCTCTTCGCGTGGCTGGGCGAGGGCGAAGTCCTGCGACGTGGGGTGGGGAGCGAGATGCACCCCTCCACGACGGCGAAAACGGGGGGGGGTGGAAGAGGTGACCCCCCGGAACCGGTTGCGCCCAGAAGGCTGGTGGGACTTGCCAAGAGCGTGCGCATGTCTCTCATGTCACAAAAGAAATATCAAATGACACCCGTGAAATCCGTGAAACCTATCAACGGTGTTCGGTCGCAAGCTGTACTGGTACTGTGAGCCCTTGCTGCTTCTGCCGCATCGGCCATGACACCACAAGAAGTATTCCCGTGCGTCCAAGAAGTTCCACAGGACAGAGAATGCGCTCCTAGCGCAGCTCGCTTACCAACTGCTACATACACATGAGCAGGTTCAACTAGGAAGAGAACTCGGGGCTAGTTATGCTGATCGCGTCCAACGGGGACTGGACAGCCTCGCCACAAAGACCTGTTTGTGCGATGGGTTGGGGGTCTCACATTGGTGCGATGACAGACCGTGCGGTGACCTCGAAATCACGGAAGACTTCACCGCACGGTCAGTCGCCGCACGGTTCTGGCATCCCCGGGGGCCTCCATCGCCCGAGACATCCTCGGAGAACGCACCGAATTCCAAAACCGTGCGGTCGCCCCGGATCCCAACCGACGTCACCGACGGCGTAGCAACCGCACTGGCTTGTGGGACTTCCCAGTGAGGCCCAATTTCGGTAGACTGTCGGCAGCGAGCGAGGGGGGGGGACGAGAAGGAGAAGGCCTTCTCAGAAGGCGGCGGCGATTCTCAGAAGCCCTCGCGCCTTATGAGAATATTGTGTTGCTCTTCGAGACAGGCCTAGAAAACTTCTCGGAAGGCCAGGGGGACTCCCGAACCTTCTGAGAAGGCCTTCTCCTTCTCACTTCCCCCCTCGCTCACTGCCGAGACTGCTCGGACCCAGCCCAGGACCGCACTGTGCAGCAGCACGCTGCCACCGCCAACGCTTGTGAAGGGGCCCAGGGACACACAAACAAATCTAAACACACACACAACAAATCCCAGGATCCCCCGCATTCTCTTATATGGTCTTCCCCCACTTCCCATATTCTCCTAGGGATCGGCGATTAATTTGGCCTCCTGAGTTTGGCCAGGCGGCGGACGGCTGTGCCACGGCGGTGCTCGACGGGTCCGCGTACTGGCCCTCCCCTCCGACTCTGGCGGGGCTGGAGACCAAGCGAAGAGCATCCAGGGCAGCCTCACTGTTCCCTCCACATCTCGAGGCCGGGACGAGGATGAAGTCGGGTGAGGACACGTCGAGAATCTCTGAGATCTGGCGGTTCTGGAAGGATTCTTGGGCACCGCGGCCTTCTCAGAGCGCTCCCTAACGTTCTCAGAGAGCGTTCCGTGGAACGGAATTGTCCTCGTCCTGGCCCCGCCCGACTGTTCCCCCATCCCTTCCTCCCCAGCGCCTCCCGCCACTCCTGTCCTCCTCGTCGTATTATGATTCCCTCCTCCTCCGCCACCACCGCCGGAATGGGCGCCTCGGTGGCCTTTTTTTTGCCCGGGGGCGTCCATGGCTGCCGCACCTGTCTTCGTGGTCTGCGCCGGATCTATCGATTATTCAGCAATATTCCTCATCTTCCACTTCCACTTCCACCTCCACCTCCACCCACTTTTGCACGAGTTTCATGCATCTCCAACTCCTCCTCCTCCTCCTCCTCCTCCAACTCCTCCAACTCCTCCTCCTCCTGCTCCTCCTCCTCTCTTCCATGTTCCGTGCTTGGACCACCCCCAGGTCCATGTCTTGCAGGGGGGTCAGGGCAAGCAGCAAAGCTTCGCGCAGCCTCAAATGCGCCAGGGCTCCCCGCCTGGACGCAGGAGGGTTCGTGGCCTGGTCCTCCTCTCCTTCTGCTCCTGCTGCTGCTGCTGCTGCTGCCCCTGTTCCTGCTCCTGCTCCTGCTCCTGCTCCTGCTCCTCCTCCTCCTCCTCCTCCTCCTACTCCCTACTCGTCCTCCTCACTCTCCAGCTCCACTGCCCCCCCCCTCCGAAAGGGAGTAGCTCTGCTGTGAGAGGCGCGAGAGCGCAGGGACGGACGGGACGGAAGCACGAGACGAGCGGGCACACTTCACCTTCGAGCACAATGCGCGCCAGTCGCCACGATCTGGAGGCTGATGGCAAGTGACAAGAGGTATAGCCATCGTGCTGCCATGAGGAACGATGGATCAGAAACGAAGGGGCGTTTTGCTCGGCACGGCGAGCGTGGGCCACGCATGGACTCGGCGACCCAGATCTAAGGAACGGCCCGAAAATACTACCGTGGAGGCCAGTCCACAAGAAACTTCCACAAGAAACCCAACCCTGAGACCCCAGGACGTCCATTGTTTTTTGGTGTGGGAACGTCATGCTTTCCGTCGCAAAAAATCTCAAAACCCAAGAAACCCAGGGCTCCCTGGAGGCAAGCAGGGTAAATCTTCTTGGTCTTGGCTTCCACTGTAGCCCCAGCTGAGCCCAAGCCGGTTACATGTGAAGTCCTGGCTGTATGATCAATCGCGCGCGCTTGCCGCGCGCTCGGGCTCTAGCCGATGACACCACGTGTGCGCGTTCGATCGCGCTACATGCTTTGCGTGTCGAACGGTGGCTGGGGCACGAAGCTGCGCTCAAAAATCACATGCTCGAAGCGAGACAGGGGCCGGCGAGAAGGAGAGGATGAGGGAGAGGGCGTGGAAGCAAGGGCTCCCAACTTCGCGCTTCGCGCTGCGCGAAGCGCGAAGCGCGAATAACTTCGCGCTCTCGCGCCGCCCCCCCAAAGGGAGAAAAGGAGGACGAGGAGGAGGGGGGAGAAGGAACGAGGACCGCGAAGCGCGAAGCGCGAATAACTTCGCGCTCTCGCGCCGCCCTCCCAAAGGGAGAAAAGGAGGACGAGGAGGAGGAGGAGGAGGAAGGAGGACCGCGAAGCGCGAAGCGCGAATAACTTCGCGCCCTCGTGGGAGCCCTTGTGGAAGAGGGTCGAGTTGGTCAGGTCGAGCGAGACGGCGGGTCCCGCCATTTCCCACGCGCGGAGCGCGCGAGGGGCGGCGCTGGAGGCGCCGCCGGGGGGGGTCCAGCGCCGATCTGCGAAATCCGCGCGGACTTCCGAGTCTGTACGGCGGGTTCGTGTCGTGCCGACCCAGGCGATGGTTCTTGACACCGCGGGAATCGTTCAACCTTGAATGATCGGCCGTCTCCGCAACGTCCAATCGTTCAACGTCGATCGATTCTGGGTCGCCGGCGGCGTTCAACCTTGAACGCCCACGCTGGGGTCGCCGCCGGTCGACACGACACGAACCTACCGTATGTTTATGTCATTGTTCGTCCCCCTATTCCCACACTCACAGAATACAATAATCAGGGGTGGCACAACTTGGCATTGGGATTGGAACGCGTTCCCACCTAGCGAACGAACGGCGCGCGCGCGCGGTGCTCCATTCCGATGCATCGGCGAGGGGGAAAGCTACTCGGGCCGCGCAAGGGCGGGAGAGCACCAAACGTCCGACGAGCGCGGCGAAGATGAAGCGAAGCAGCGCCAAGCGGAGCCAAGCAGTGCAAAGTCAACGACAGGCAATGCAAAGCTCACGCCAAGCAGTGCGAAGAAACTGTCAAGCAACGCTGCCTGGCAAAGCCAAGCAATGCCGAGCAACGATGCCAAGCAACGCCAAGCAATGCAAAGCAACGCAAAGTAATGCCAAGCAGCAGCAATCAATGCCAAGCCAATGCAGAGTCAATGCCAACCAATGTCAAGCAAATGCAAGGCTACTGCAAAGCAAGACCATGGAATACCAACAAGCAGTACCAAGTGTTGCAAAGCCAATGCCAAACAATGCCAAGCAAATCCAAACAACGGCAAGCACCGCAAAGCAACGCCAAACAGTGCTACTGGAAATTCGATGCCACGCAATGCCAAGCACGCCAAGCAATGTTAAGCCATGCGATGCCAATGCAAAGCCATTGCCAAGAAACGTCAAGCCAATGCCGAGCAACACCAAGACAATGCCAAGCAATGCCAAGCAATGCCAAGCAATGCCAACCGACGAGTTCTGGCAGGGACTCAAAGCGGCGATTTCAGGCAACGATCCCAAGCAGTGCCAAGCAGTGCAAAGCAGAACCAGGCAATGCAAAGCCGATGAAACACATTGCATTGATGTAAGTTGCATGGCGTTGCATTGTTTTAGACCCTGAATTGAGGTCGCGCCAATTCCGTCTTCCTCTGCCGTCCCAGAGCCCACGAGAGCAGGCAGGCCACGCGCGCGCGCCTGTGTCGAAAGCACCCAACAGTCATCGCACGCCCGCGAAGCCCGGCAGATAGTGGCACGCAGGCCACGCGCGCGCGTTTCCGCGCGCGAACGTCGACGTGCCCAAACGACACGGCGATTCAGCTGCTCTTCAATAGATATGGCATACGTGAACAGCGTCTGCGCGAGCACTTTGTAATCAACCTCATCAACACCATCCTTGCATCATCGCTGGCGTCGTGATTGCCATCGTCATCGTCATCTTTTCCATCGTCGCCGTCATAATTACCACCATCGTCATCATCGTCGGCAGTATCATCGACATTGTCATCATATCCACCATCATCATCATCACCATCATCATCACCAACATCATCAGCACCACCACAATCATCACCACCATCACCACCATAATCTCCATCACCGTCATCGTCGTCGCCGTGGTCGTCGTCACCGATGTCGTCGTCCCCATCATTATTCATCCGTCCGGGTCATGGATCGGCATGAGCAAGGTCCGCCCGACACTGCGCGGCTTGAGATTTTCGAACTGTTTGTGCTGGGTAAGTGCACTCACGGTCTAGTTGAGTTGTCAACAAGTTGAGGGGGATGGGGGGGATGCTTGCTCGAGCACGAGAGGTGGTCGTGCGCGTCGCAGGTAGCACTTTTTTGTCCTTTCTAATCGGAGAACCTACTCTACCCCGAGCCCCACCTTCGCATTGTACTTTACATATGATTCTGCCCCACCGCCCATCCTATATATGAACTTTTTCCGTCCCAGCCGAACTGGTATCCGTCACCCCCGCCATCCTTGAAAAAAACGACCATGTGCGCGCACTCGTCCATCAAAAACCATCCATTTACAAGAATCTCGTGCAAAAAAACGAGACGAAGTGCACACGAGCGCGTCGTCGCGCGCGCATGCCGAAATGATTCAAAAATCCCACCAGCCCTCTGGGCGTAGGTGGTCTAGAGCAGATCCTCTTCCACCCCTCCCTCTTCCCCCTTGGGGAGGGGTTTACCCCTCCCCCTACCCCCTCCCCTGGACCTGGACGGGGGGGGCCGCGGGTAGTTAGAGCGTCCCAGATGGCCCAAGACGGCTCCAAGAGCGCCTCAGAGAACCCAAGATGAGCTCCAAGATGGCTCAAGATAGCGCAAGATCGCTCGAGATGGCTCCTAAGATGGTTCCAAGAAGCCCAAAGACGGCCCCAAGATAACTCCAAGTGGCCAAACAGCTCCCCAAGGAGGCCCCGAAGAGGCCAAAATCGTCCCAAAACCTAAGGAAAATCAATGATTTTTGCTTTCTCGCCTTTTCGCTTCCGATGGCCATCCGAGGCCTGGAGATGGTTCCAAGATGGCCCAAGAGGGCCCCAAGAGAGCCCCAAAAGAGCCCCAAGACGGCCCCAAGAGCGCCCAAGAGCACTCCAAGAGCGTTCCAAGAGGGGTCCAAGAGGCGATTTTAGGGGCTTCCGAGGGGGGACGCTAATTAAACCCCCCCTCTTGTTTGATCGATCTCCTCCAAGATGGCCCCAAGAAGCGCCCAGGAAGCCCCAAGAGGTCCCAAGATGGCCCCAAAATGGCCCCAAGAGGCCCCCAAGAGGCCCCCCGGAGGCCCCCAAGAGACCCCCAAGAGGCCCCAAGAGCCCCCCCAGATGCACCCAAGATGCTCCAAGAGGCCTCGGCGAGAATGCCTAATCATTGATTCTACACAGGTTTTAGCCACATGGAGGCCTCTTGGGGGGGGGCACGGATTAAGATGACTCCAAGAGCGTCTGGGAGAGCCCAAAATGACCTCCAAGATGGCTCAAGATATCCCAAGATGTCTCATAATGGCTTCCTCTGTGTGCTGCCCACTTCTCTGATCGAGGCAATTCCTCTGGGCATCGTTTCTGGATGGGCTGGTGGGGATTCGCGAAGCGACAACAATTTCCGGGTTTGTAAGGCTCCCAAAATCGAGTCCAGAAAAAAAATGCGTCGCAACACGGATTTCCAAACAAAACTTGCGCGCGCGGTCTTGCGAATCCGGAGGAGAAGCATTGTTTTTTTCATCATGCTCACAACACCCTACCAAACGAGCTTCGCGCGCGAGCATGTCGAAATCGTTTGAACGCCCTTGCGCGCGTGCCGTCGCGAGGCTCCCTGGCACAAGACGGGGCGAAATGCACGCGCGCGCGTCGTCGCGCGCGCATGCCGAAACCCGTGTTTATATCTATATATATAAATATATATATAACAACAACAACAACAACAACAACAACAACAACAACAACAACAACAACAACCACAACCACAACCACAACAACAGCAGCAGCAACAGCAGCAGCAACAACAACAACAACAACAATAACAGCAACAACAACAACAACAACAACAACAACACCAACAACAACAACAACAACAACAACAACGTCGGTTTCGTAACGATTCCCCAAACAACAAACATATAACAACACACGGTTTCGCAACATCAAATTTCAAAACAACGTCCGCTCGCGCTCTTGCGAGCCCTGAAAAGAAGGCCATCGTTTGTTGCAACACTTCCATGTCATTCTGCCGAACGGACCTCTGGCGCCGCACGCCAATATCATACGCTCGCCCTTGCGCGCTGGGGGGGGGCACGGTCCGTGTCAAATGATACAACGCGGGCCACTCTCGCACGTCGGCCGCGCGCGCACGTCGAACTCTTTCTAAAGCCTGCATCGCCGACGCGAGGACGCCGTCATCGTCGCTGGCGTGATCAGCATCGGCACCCGCACGGGCCGCGCCGTCGTCACCAGCATCACTACTATCATCACCATCACCATCACCATCACCATCACCATCATCATCATCATCATCACCATCATCATCATCATCATCATCATCATCATCATCATCACCATTGTCATCATCATCATCACCATCATCATCATCATCATCACCATGTTTACCGATGTCTACGTTGCCATGATACCGCGCCCGCCCAAGTCGCCGACTCGCAGTGAAGTGCCCGCTGGGACGTGCCCAGCGGTCAGCATCAACGCGGCCGCGTCGGCCGCGCCAAACTAGCTGGCAGCTGCGCGCGCGTGCTTGGGTTGGCGTGGCCGCAGAGATGCACCAGACAACGCCGCGCATGCATCGCAATTTCCACCGCATTGGTTTTGCAAACCAAGTTGCGGGTGGTCGGGTGGGCTGTTTGCAAGAGCATGGTATGTGTCAACCCGCTTATTAAAACCAAGTGCACCCCATAAGTTGCACATACTACATGTTGTGGGTCCACGCGTCAACATCATACTGCTATGTGCTAGCCTTTGGGGTAATCGTTTGGGAAAGGTTTTTGTATTGTGGCTTACTGGACTCGTCGTTACCCTACATCTCTATACGAATCAACGAGAGAGCGTGAGCCACCGCCGCTTTACTGTGGAAAATTGCCAACCTTTTCCTCCGGAGCCCGGGGGTCGCCCCCCCCCCCCTCCGAAAATCCCCCCCCCCCCCCCCCTGCTCCCCCCCCCCCCCGTCCCCCATACCCCCCCCCTAACCCTCCCCCCCCCCCGGAAAACCGGGGGGGGTCACTACCGGGTCGAACCCCTCCCCCCCCCCCCCTCCGGATCTGGAAAACCGGGGGGGTCACTACCGGTTCGAACCCTCCCCCCCCCCCCACCCTCCGGATCCGGAAAACTGGAGGGGGCCACTACCGGTTCGCACCCCCCCTTCCCCTTTCCCCCCCCCCCCTACTCACCGCCAGCAAACGACTCCCGGTCCCCACCACCGTCCGCATCACATCCCCCACTGGTGTTCCCAGCACCACTGTCCTCACCACCGCTGTCCCCACTGGTTCCACCACCGCCCCTACTGTCCCCACCAGTGGCCCCACCACTGTCGCACTGTCCCCGCTGTCCCCAGAACTGTTCCCACCACGGTTCCACTCTCCCCACTGTCTCCACGGCCCCAACCACTGCCCGACTATCCCCACTGTCCCCACTGTCCCACTGACTCCTCCGCTGTCCCACTGAGCTGTCCCACTGTTCCCACCACTGTCCCCACTGTCCCCACCACTGTCCCCACTGTACCTCTGTCCCATTGTCCCACCGCCGTCCTCGCCACCGCCTTCACCACTGTCCCCACCACCATTGTACCCTCCACTGTCCCACTGTTTCCACCTCATTCCCATTGTCCCCACACCACTGTCCCCACCACCACCGTCACCACCACTGTCCACTGTCCCCCCCTGTTCCCACCATTGTCCCCACCACTGTCCCCACCACTACCGTCCCCACCACTGTCCCACTGTCCCACTGTCCCCACCACTGTCCCGCTATCTCCCCTCACCACTGTCCCCACCAACACCGTCCCCACCACTGCCGCACCCCCACTCGGTTTTCGAGGGGGGGGGGGGGTTCGAACCGGTAGTGACCCCCCCCGGTTTTCGTGGGGGGGGGGGGGGAGGGGTTCGAACCGGTAGTGACCCCCACCCCTTTTCATGATGAGCTGGGGGGGGGGGAGGGGTTCGAACCGGTAGTGACCCCCCCCCGGTTTTCCGGAGGGGGGGAGGAAGAGGGGATCGAACCGGTAGTGACCCCCCCCGGTTTTCCGCCAGCAGCGGTAGAACACGCTCTTCCGAATCAACACAACGCAGCGAAATTGGGGCACCACTCCCTCCAGCTCCAATCCTTCCCCCACCACTTCCTCTCCGGACTTTTCCCATTGTGCGATCCGCCACGGACTCCGAAGCGAATCCCGCCGTGGCGACAAGGTGCTCCCCAGGAACCAAAAAACGAGAACGAAAAAAACGTGTCGGTCCGATATTTCCCTACGCTGAGACTCCTGCGCACATCCCGCCCCCGACCCCCCCCCCCCCTGGGCTGCATAGGAGTACTGCGGCGCCGCGGTGTAACTGAGCGAGGCAGCGCCTGGCACGCTCCACGAGCTCACCCTAGCCTCGCTCCCTTCGGCCGCCGCTCTCGAGGGTCCCGCGAAGGCCCGCACGACTGGGCCTGTGCGACCCGCCCCCCCCCTATGATTTCTCGCCCAGAAGCAACCCTGACCTGAGGGGCAAAGATGGGGGAGGGAGGAGGAGGAGGAGGAGGAGGAGGAGGAGGAGAGGAGGGAGGAGGAGGAGGAGGAGGAGGAGGAGGAGGAGGAGGAGGAGGAGGAGGAGGAGGGGGGGAGGATTGGGCATAGGGCGGGCGGGAAACCTCGACCTGGAACCAGCGATACTCGCCGATAGATCGGCGATAGGCCCCCGATGGTGAATGCCTACGTTCCTGGGCAGGTGGGGGCTAGCGGGACCCTATCGGCGATCAATCAATGGGCGGCGATTGGGGATCGATGCATTCCCCCCCTTGTGCCCATATCGTTGCCCCTGATGACCCCCCACCTGGTCACCACCTCGCCCAAGCATTCTCACCCTGCGCTGTCGGGTGCGCTGCAACACGTGCAGATCCAACAGCCTCGCGCTCCCAAGACCACCATGCTTCGTAGATTGCGAGGACTGCGCGCTCCCGGGGCCACGATCTCTTGAAATTTCCAAGCTCTCGCGTCACCGAGCCAAAATTCCTGGAATATAGACCCGGCGCGACACCAATCTGGAGAACACTTCCTGGGCAAGTAGCTTGCACTGCTGGGCATTGCTTGGCATTCCTCAGAGTTGCTTGGTATCGCTTAGAGTTGCTTCCCGATGCTGGGCGTTGCGTAGCATCGCTTGGCATTGATTGGCATGGGAACCCGATGAATCCAAGTGAGGCACCCGAGGGGCAAATGACCGAGCAACCCGAGAGTCGCTCGAGGAGACCAAGACCGAACACCCGAGAGACGCCTAGCGAACCCCAGAAACCCAAGATCAAAGACCCGGTGAACACCCGAGGAGCCCTGACCGAGGCACCCAAGACCGAGCAACCCGAGAAGCGCCCGAGGAACCCAAGACCCAAGACCGACTAAGCCGGGGCAGCGCCCGAAGAACCGCAGACCGCGCAACCTGGGGGACGCCGAAAGCCGCCCCCCGAAGTCGCGGTCGCAACCACCGGTGTCTCCACGGACAAGATAGGGGGCCACATGCGAACCCTACCCCTACCCCCCCCCAATTTCTGAGTGGGAGGGTGGGGCTCCCCTCAGAAATCGTGGGGGGTAGGGGTAGGGTTCGCATGTAATCCCCCGACCTACACTTTGGGAGCTCCCCCACGCTCGCGCTCCTGGCACCGCGGTCACGACTCTGCTGTGACCCGCTCGCGCTGCCGAGGCCAGAGCCCCTCGCAAGTCGCAGCGAACGCGCGTTGCCCACCGACGCTCTCTCGTGGAGTACCTCGCGGCCGCGCTCCCGAGGCCACCATCCCGTGCGAAGTCACAAAACAACACGCTCCCGCAGAAAAAGTGCTCCGTGAAGCACCAGCCAGTCGCACGCCCGCCGCCAGAGGTCACTGTGCTCGACCGAGAGCTCGCGCTCACAGGTCGAATGCCATTGTGGCTTCATACTTTCATCGCGCTCACTGGGCCAAGTCCCCACGTCAGTTACAACACGCTTACCCTCTCGAGGCCACAATCGCTCGTGAAGTACAACGCAGTCACGCTTCCGAAACCACAGCTACTCCAAACAACACCACGGACGCGCGCACCCGAGACAATAGAAATGCCACAAGCGCCCCTCGGCAACTCTCGCTCTGCGAACATGGCAGTCGCCCAGAAGACACCGGTGCGACGTAGGAGATTGGTACGAAGAGTGGTATTGATGTGCACGGCCTTCGGGGGCATCTCGGAGCAGGAAATAGTAAGCAATTCAAGCACTAATTTCCGTCCGTCATCTTTCTTGTGGCCCTCGATCATAACCCGCCACCGTGCCTTCAGCAAGTCGTGGAGTGCCCCAAGGCTCATGCAATTTTCTGAGCCGTGGATGGGGGATCTGTAAGATGCTTAAGGGCCTTGACAACGCAATTCCTGTAATTCTCAGGCGCTCCACAGAACTCTTGGGAGCTGCCAGGATTTGTCACGTAGGCCTCTGGGACGGTGACCCCGCCCAAAACTACCAGAAGCAACTAAGAATTCCTGAGAAGCGCCCAAGAAGGCCCAAGAACGCCTCGAGACTGCCCCAAAGGCCCCAAGACTACCCACGATGTCAAGAGGCCCCCCAAGAGGTCCCGAGATACCAAAATCATTGATGTTCTCTAGGTTATCAGAATGGATTTGAACGTTCTCGCCTTTTCAGACTTCCGACGCTCCAAGACCGCCCAAGAGGCCTCCAAGATCGCCCCCAGACGGCTCAAGAGGCCCGCAAAAGGCCCCCAAGAGGGCCTAGATAGGGTCGAAGAGAAGCCCTAGACGGCCCAAGAGGCCTCCCAAACGGCCCAAGAGGGACCCAAGAAGACCCCAAGAAGGGGAACTCGAACTAACATGTCACGCTCTCCGCCCCAAGATGGTCCCCGAGACTGCCAGCGGGCCCCGAAGGGGCATCCCAGATGCCCAAACTAGGCCCCACGAGACCCCCAAGAGGCCCCGTGAGGCCCCAAGACGCACCCAAAATACGCCTCCAAGAAGCTGCCGAGAGGTCCCCAGAGATATCCCCACAGGCATCCAAGAGGCCTCTGACCTACACCTTCAACCTAGGCACGGTGGCGGGAGGGGCCGACGGTCACTATATCCGCCGCCCCCTGCTTGCAGGGGTGCACGGCGTGCTGGACGTTTCAGGTTTTGGTTTTGGTTCTTTTTCTAAAAGAACTCCCCAGTGGGCTTCGGCCCGTCCCGCCGGCCACCCGGAAAGGATGCCCAGGAGCTCAATTCCCCAATTTCCTGCCCCAGACGGTTCCAAGATGGCCTCCAAGATGCCTCTAAGACGGCCAGGATGGTCTCTAAGACGGCTAAGATGGCCTTATGATGCCTCCAAGACGGTCCAAGACGGCCTCCAAAACGGCCCAAGAGAGTCCAAGACGGCCCAAGACGGCCCAAGAGGCCCCCCAGAGGCCTCCCAGACGGCCCAAGAGGCCTCCAAGAGGTCCTCCAGGAGAGTCCGAAGAGGCCAAAATCCGCCGACCCCTTGGGGATCATCGGCGTGTGAGATGCTTCCCCCTCCCCAAACCCCTCCCCCGGGAGCCTGGTCCGGTCGATTTGGAGGGGGGGGGGGGGTCCGGGACGAGCGATCCACGGGGCTTTTCCTGGCCCAAGAGGGCCTCAAGACGGGCCACGAAGCCCCCAAGAGGCTTCCAAGACGGCCCACGAAGGCTCCGAGACGCCAAACGACCGCTCCAAGACGCCCACGATGGCCCCAAGACGGGCCAAGAGGTCTCCAAGACGGCCTTGAGGTCCCAAATGAGCTTCCCAAGAGGGCCCAAAGAGTCTAAAATTGCTGATTTTCCAGAGTGTTTTTCGATGTTTTTTCCTGTTCCGCCTTTCCGGCTTCCCGACGCTCCAAGACGCGCGAAGAGGCCCCAAAGATAGCCCCAAGATGGCCCAAGACTCCCCCAAGACGGCCTCCAGACGGCCCAAGACGGCCCCAAGACGGCCCAAGAGGTCCCAAAACGGCCCAAGAGGGCCGATTTGGAGGGGGGGGGGGGCCGGGACGAGCGATCCACGGGGCTTTTCCTGGCCCAAGAGGGCCTCAAGACGGGCCACGAAGCCCCCAAGAGGCCTCCAAGACGGCCCACGAAGGCTCCGAGACGCCAAACGACCGCTCCAAGACGCCCACGATGGCCCCAAGACGGGCCAAGAGGTCTCCAAGACGGCCCCCGAGGTCCCAAACAAGCCTCCCAAGAGGGCCCAAAGAGTCTAAAATTGTTGATTTTCCAAGTGTTTTTCGATGTTTTTGCTTTCCGCCTTTCCGGCTTCCCGACGCTCCAAGACGCGCAAAGAGGCCCCAAAGATAGCCCCAAGATGGCCCAAGAGGCCCCCAAGACGGCCTCCAGACGGCCCAAGACGGCCCCAAGACGGCCCAAGAGGTCCCCAAGACGGCCCAAGAGGGCCGATTTGGAGGGGGGGGGGGTCCGGGACGAGCGATCCACGGAGCTTTTCCTGGCCCAAGAGGGCCTCAAGACGGGCCACGAAGCCCCCAAGAGGCTTCCAAGACGGCCCACGAAGGCTCCGAGACGCCAAACGACCGCTCCAAGACGCCCACGATGGCCCCAAGACGGGCCAAGAGGTCTCCAAGACGGCCTTGAGGTCCCAAATGAGCTTCCCAAGAAGGCCCAAAGAGTCTAACTTTGCTGATTTTCCAGCGTGTTTTTCGATGTTTTTTCCTTTTCCGCCTTTCCGGCTTCCCGACGCTCCAAGACGCGCGAAGAGGCCCCAAAGATAGCCCCAAGATGGCCCAAGAGTCCCCCAAGACGGCCTCCAGACAGCCCAAGACGGCCCCAAGACGGCCCAAGAGGTCCCCAAGACGGCCCAAGAGAGCCGATTTGGAGGTGGGGAGGGGTCCGGGACGAGCGATCCACGGGGCTTTTCCTGGCCCAAGAGGGCCTCAAGACGGGCCACGAAGCCCCCAAGAGGCCTCCAAGACGGCCCACGAAGGCTCCGAGACGCCAAACGACCGCTCCAAGACGCCCACGATGGCCCCAAGACGGGCCAAGAGGTCTCCAAGACAGCCTTGAGGTCCCAAATGAGCTTCCCAAGAGGGCCCAAAGAGTCTAAAATTGCTGATTTTCCATAGTGTTTTTCGATGTTTTTTCCTCTTCCGCCTTTCCGGCTTCCCGACGCTCCAAGACGCGCGAAGAGGCCCCAAAGATAGCCCCAAGATGGCCCAAGACTCCCCCAAGACGGCCTCCAGACGGCCCAAGACGGCCCCAAGACGGCCCAAGAGGTCACCAAAACGGGGGGGAGGGGGCCGGGACGAGCGATCCACGGGGCTTTTCCTGGCCCAAGAGGGCCTCAAGACGGGCCACGAAGCCCCCAAAAGGCTTCCAAGACGGCTCACGAAGGACTCCGAGGGAACGCC